CTTTTGCTAGTCACAGAGTGTATTTTCTGCAATGATCCAACATGCAATGGAAAAATCCTTGGGTTTTTGTTGAGGGAACCAGTGTGACGCTAAATTCAGGGTTGGCCTACAAAAATTCGTCATCACTGCAGCACTCTATAAACTATATATCTATAAATAGACCACCAGAATCAACAAATAAACATTTAAAAAATATTGAACTTAAGGCCCGTACACACCGGGACGAATATCAGCGCGCGTTATTCGTCAGCATTTTTCAACGCGTTTTTTGTGTTCACACCCAAAGTGATTTTCGCTGACGACGAGCCGAGTGAACATGCAAATTCATTCCCTGACATTAGCTGGCGCCAATTTGCTCTGCAATACCACTCCATATCAGTTTTCTTTTATCAAGATGCTTGTAGTCCCTGTCGCGTTTGTCATATAGTTCTTTATGTTCTAGCACCAATGAGAACGGCAGCTCTACATTCATCTTGCTTTGCATCTTCCTGGCAGTGCGACGCTACTTCGCGTATATCTTCTATCTTCTTCGCCATTGCATGTGTGCTCGGCAAGACCGTTTTGTATTTGAGCGCCCCCAAGTTGTGTTTTACTGTAACCTCAGAAGCTCCAGACACGTGAGCAAAAGCGCCAATATCATTGGTCAGTTTTTGACGCAGCTTGTCAAAAAAAAAAAAAAACGAATGGACATTTAAGAGATACGGTATACAGTCATTCATATCACTTATTACACAGCATTTCTCCAAATAAATAATTATGGGGATAAGATAAATTGATTTCAGATTAAAGGTACAATGTGTAATATTTATGAGGATCAATTGACATAAATACAGTGTAAGATCCATAATGTATTCAGTGGTGTTTAAAGACCTTACTCAATGAACCGTTATGTTTTTATTACCTTAGAATTATATCTACATAACCGCGGGCACCCCCTTCAATGAAGGTCGACATATAGTGGCGTCATGTTTCTACCGTAGGCGACAGCAAACAAACAGTGCTACAGAGCAAGTTTCGTCACTACCTTGAAAAAGAAGCCACAGAAACCTAGAAGCTAGCCATAAACACTGTGAGTGCTGACTTTTCTCTTGTCAGTGGTGTAAATATGTAGTTGGATTGTTTCATGTAACTTAGTTCTTCTCCCTCGCAATCAGCTGATTAGTACTATTGACCGTAAAACAAAAACGTTACAGGAGTCACCAAGCCGTCTATCACGGTCACGGTTCGACTGATCTTGGAAGCATTAAGTCGATCGCGAAGATTTTTCAAAGCCAGAGAAAAAAACGATATTTTTATTCATTATTATTTATTCATTTAAGTGTAGTAAATGGTGTCTAGGCACTGTTACAATCATGTCATTTTTGCTGCGCGCACCTTTGCATTCATTTGAACACGTCAAGTATAAACGATGCTTTACGCTTCAACCAGTAACAGTTCATATTTAGCCAGCTAAACATTTAATACCCTGTTAGAAAAAAAAAAATATGCAGTTGGATAGTTTCATGTGGTTCTTCTCCCTCGCTGTATTATTGGTTTGCTATGTGGGAAAATGTGCTGGTTACGTTCTTGAGACAATCAGCTGATTACTATTATTATTTATATTAAAGGGATACTCCACTTTTTTGGAAATAGGCTAATTTTACAACTTCCCCAGAGTTAATCAGTTGGGTTTTACCGTTTTCGAATCTTTCTGTTGATTTTCAGATATTTAGAAGAATATCAGTATCCAGACAGTTTCTGGTCTCATTGACTATCATAGTAGGAAAAAATACATACTATGGAAGTCAATGAGACCAGAAACTGTCTGGTTACTGATATTCTTCTAAATATCAGAAAATCGGCTGAATGGATCCGAAAACGGTAAAACTAAAAAAAAATTCCAAAAAAAGTGGAGTATCCCTTTAAGATTCTTGATCCTCACCTGACTATGGCTTTGTAAACTTTATCCATGGTGTGGTTTATAATGGACTGTGGTACAGAAACTTGGCTTACTCTGGCTATTCTCTGCTGTATATGTTTGTCCCGTTTTAGCCACCATAGCTTCTTCGAAAGGGAGGGGTGAGCAGTCGCCGAGCCATTAGTGCAACTCGCAACCGAACCGCTATGCCACTAAAATCTACACACCTTTGTACTGTTTTAAAACAGAGAAATAAAATCCACAAAGAAAACACGGTCCTAGCAGGCGTTCATCTTCAGTGACCCGGATGAAACCTGCGTTATCTGCTTTGATTGGTTGTTATCTGGGAATATCTTACCGCTGGATGGTGCTATTGACCAATCAGAATCAAGTACTCCACAGACTCATGTAATAAAATCTTTTAACTCACCCCATGACTTCAATCTTTTAAAGTATGTAATCGTGGTAACTTTCACATGGTATTTTTAAAAGGATAACATTATGGTTCATTGTTACGCTCTATTTGCATGAAATAAACGCCAGCCATGGAAAATAATTCACCAGTGCCAATCAACCAGTCAGAAGACATCAAAGACTGAGCTAACAATAGCATTCTTACTCCAGTACCTCGATGTCCTAGCACAGAAGCCTTGCATCACATGGAATAATTCACATGGACGTTGGCTCTGCCATCAATATTATGTGTATATTTCTTGTGATCCTGAATTTGAAATATTAAATAGACAGTAGAAATCTTTCTATGTACCTTCCTCAGAAAAACTGCCCTACTTTGGATGTTTTCCCTTTTGATAATGCTAGCTTCTCTAATCTAGACGCTTTTGGGTGTGAGTCGTAAGTTGTTTACTTGAATTGCATTCTTGTTTGTCAGTCTGAGAGAAGGCTCGAGTACATGTACTGCTTTGACAGTGACCTCACCACCTCACGTGTAAGTCTACATCATTACTAATAAGTGTGGAGAGGCTGATTTCCACTTCGCCAAGAACTGTAAGGATCAAAGCTCTTTCAGACAGCTTGTTGTGTGGATGCTTCAATCTGTCTCACTCAAGTCTGAGTTAACACCCAGAGCAGGTTCGTCTAAAACTGTGTGGCTGCAGCTGAGGATAGTGTCTCATAAAGCATGAACTAAATTAAACATTAAACAACACTGAGAGTTATTTTTTGGTACTATTGGTTGTCTGGAAATATCAATGCTGATAGTTTTTATTTTTTTAATTGAAGAGACATTAAGAGAGAAAGGCCAAGGTGATTATACAGTAAGCATTATCCTTACATTGAGCAATGGAACAATACGAATCAAAGGGATAGCGTTATTAGTATTATAATATTATGTCATCATTTACTCACCCTCATGTCATTCTAAACCTGTATGATTTTTTTTTTTTTTTCTGTTGGGAAAATATATTGTTACATCATAACAACAGTTTTTGTTGCCATTGACTTCAGCAAGACAGCAAGAAAAGAAAACAGAAAAAAATTATTTTCTTTTATTTATAGTTAGATCTATATTGTATTTAGTATTTTGTGTAGGAGTGTGTCAGCGTCTCAGGCACACATCTGAGCATATAATGTAGTTTTGAGGTTTACATATGAATCTGTTTTGTTTTGAGTCAGTACTGTAGTTCTCAAAAATTATTAACGAAAATACTGTCAGTTGTCCTGAGTGAATATAACAAAAAGTCTGAAGAAATATTACAAAAAGGTTGTCGTATTATTACAAAAGGTTGTTTGATGTGTTTTAATATATATATATATATATATATATATATATATATATATATATATATTTGTGTGTGTGTATGTATATTTAATTATCTATCATTTAAGCAATGGTGTTGAACAATCTAGGAACAATCTAGGAATTGGCTTTCATTTTGAATTAGTGATGTCTCATTTATAGACCATTTCACAAGATGTAAACAACAGTGGTCCAGAAGCACTTCCTGTTTCAGTTTTTTAACACTACATAAAAGCTGGGATAAAATACAACCAACAGAACATTTAAAACTGAATCAAAAAGTTAAACAAACATCTTTAAGATGTTTTCTTTACATGTGAAATAAAGAAAACAGTTACAAACTGAAACAGGAGTGCTTCTGGACCAGTGTTGTTTACATCTTGTGAAATGGTCTATAAAGGCATTAATAATTTTAGTCAGAACATCTATATTGCCATGTCTATCCTTACTGGGGTTGAAAATTCCTCAAATTTTGGTTATGATTTTGGTCATAATGCCCACCTCCAATGGCGCTTTTCCACTGCATGGTACTGTACGGTACGGTACGGCTCGCTTTAAATGGTGCCTGGTCTGTTGAGGTTCCAAGCGTACCGTACCGGTACTAAAATGTGATGTGAAACACTGCAGATCACTGATTGGCCAGACAGAATCGTCACTATCAGCGTCATTGTATTTGCGACGCGAGAAACCAAACCCGCTAGATTTAAATAGCCAGTAACAGCCACCGCTGTAGCGACTGCTTTTAAACTAATCCCACCCACTTTAAAGCGGTATTAACTGCAGTGGAAAAGCAACCGAGCTAAAGCGAACCGAGTCGTACCAGCAGTGGAAAAGTGCCATAAGTAATTTAATTAAGGATCTGCTACTTCATAATGCTTAAAGCCCCCAAGCCAGAGGTGACTGTGGAAAGGAACCAAAAGCCTAGATTTTGTGGAAGCAAGGCCATTTGAAAATTACTTCGCTTCCCCTCTCTTCCTTTTCTGTATATTCTTTACGTGAAAATAAAAAGGAGTGTCTGCAGTGATGAAACATAGCTTTAGAGACATTACTTTTTATTTACTAATGAAGTTCAACACTATTTTTCATTAACTGGAAAGCTTCCAGCTGATTAACCATTATTCAGGCAGATTTTCTAATTTTATCAGGCAAAATAGCCCTACCTTTAGTTTCTCATGTACCTAGATGCTCATGCTATATATTTTGTAGACTTTTTTTTTTTTTTTACTTTTTAAAACTCATTCTAAGGGACAGAACAAGTCCTATAATCGAAGAATCAGCCTACTATGCTCATTATGGACTTAAAATTGCTTATTTCTCTCTCTCTCTCTCTCTCTCTCTCTTTAACAGCTTCAGATACTACAGACTCCCAGATTCTTACCGCTCCACAACCATGAAGGACTGTCAAGTCCAACCTCTACAGAGGCCCATTGTGACAGTTTGGATGCCGAGCTTAGTCACCACCCACTGACGCCCACGTCCTGCTCTTCAGACCTACAAAGTCCCATTGCTGTTGAGACTACCCCAAATTGTACTTTACAAACGGTAACTATATCTGCTGATAGCACTGCTGCCTCCTCTTCCAGAACTTTTCAGAGCTCTGATCCTGCTGAGCTCGACCTCGCAAGCAGCCGGCTTAAAATCAATCAGCCAACAAGCCCACCAGCTTCTGCTAGCTTTTGCTGTGAGCTAGAGAAAGGTATACAAAAACGTCCTTTAAGAAGAAGCAGTTTTTCAACCCTACAGCCACCGACCTATACTAAGAAAGCTTCAACACTCATCAAGCCCCAGGAGGTACAGCAGGTCAGTGTGCACAACGGGGCCCTAGGTAGGGTAGGAGCCACAGGTCTATCCAGACCAAGACATCAACTTTTACCAGCTTCTGGACTACCCTGCATTAACCCAGCCCGACAGACTACCATGGACACCACCACTGTATCACCAATGTGTGACAAAAAAAACCAAGGGTGCAGACAGTCTCTATTTATCAGAAAGATACAGAGCAGTTTGCCCAGAGCTCATGTTCCCCTTCAACCCAAACATTCCCGCCTTCCTAAGCCAAAGGCGCTTTCTTCTCTCCCGAACCCTCAGCAAGGTCAAACAATAAGCTCCACCGCTCTGCCTTCTCATTCGCTTCCATAATTCTAGATCAGCCAAGCAAAGCTTGGGGCATCTCACCAGAGTGTACAAAAGCTGCTTCGTAATGCTCTGCTTGTAAGGAACCAGTCAAGTATGTTGACTGATATTAAGGTATTAAGCTTTGCTTGATCTGCGGGGCTCCAAACAAATAACGCCTTCTGTGTTACCCTGTAAATTAGGAATTCCATGAAAAAAAGTGATTCTCCACTGTAGCTACATGGTATGGTTTGTATTAAAATAATCTCAGTGAATAAATGTAATATGTCTTGAACATAGAAGGTAATTTAGCGAGAGATCTGATCACTTCTACCTGCTTTTTACCCACAATAATTCAGTTTTTTTTTTTAGGCTTGCCAGTTCTAGAAAAAAGCAAAAGAAAACTATAAACTTCTATACTTTTTACATCCCTGCAATTCAATTATGCAAGCCTACCGATACAGATTTGCTTCCTCTGGGCTGATCTTACCAGTTAGTCTTACTATGTACAAAACTTGAAACAGATACTGTTGTCTTTTGAATAATGCACTAAGTTGTAAAAGTCTACCTTGTACCTATGCACCTTGCATAAGATGTTGCTCCTCTGATTAGTAAGGCGTCGTGACGACCGAAACCAAGCAGAGAATCGTTATTGCTCCTGCATCTTTTTTTTTTTTGTATTGTGTTGCTCTTATTGATTCTGTTGAGAGAGACTTGCATTTTCCCGTCTTAACTACCACCAAATTTGGTATGTGTGCCGCGTGGGCCATAATGCAGTGTGCCCATTGAGATTTTCAGAGGAGTCGTCTCCTCGAATTGCTTCTCTACCAATCTCTCTCTTTTGTTCTTTTCTGCTAGCGTGAAGATGGTGTCCTGCAGGAATTGGCCTCCCACCACTATACCTAATGAGTGAAAGTTCTGGATCTTAACAACAGAATGTGTTGTAAGTCCTTGAACATAATGTGAAATGCAGAAAATAAAATAAAAATCTGGCTGTGAGAAACATTGGCCTATACAGTGAGGGAGTTAGAAGTAGTTGGCATGGTTACTTTGAAATTACATTTATTTCACCAAGTACGATATGTTTGAAAATGATTAGCAATCTTGTTGGTACTTGACCACATTACACAGATTTCGGTTATTTTTAAGGTGCTCTAAGCGATGTTACACGTTTTTTTTTTGTGACAATTTGTCACACGAAGCCAAAACATTTTTTGTCACATACAGCAAACATCTCCTCACTATCCGCTAGCTGCCTGTCCCCTAAACACACTGCGGTCTATGCAAACAACACAGTCTCCACAAATGGCAACAATGGCAAACTGCGGCGACCCATCCACGAAACATAACAAACTGTTCTAGCCAATAACTGACAAGAAGGCCCTGGGGGTGGGGTTTGGGTGTCAGTGCACGGATGAGGAGGAGGGAGAGTCTATCTAGCCTCCGTTTTGTTTGGAAAATACTTTAAACGTCAACAAGAAGTCACGTCACCCGACATCGCTTAGCGAACATTTAAACCAGGGCCCAAAATAGACATTATATGGCATGAACTGTGCTTGATTGTGAATTGCAGGAATCAAGGGATGCTGTGTGTACATGCTTGCAGTCAAACAATTTTAGCTAAATTAAATAGTTAAATACTTATTCAAGAACAAATCATAGAAAAAGGAAATTACTAGCTGGCCCCCCAAACCTCACTCCCATCCGGGTCACGGCACCAATGCAACCTGTTCTCCCTGCATGGGAGCTTATACCTGGCCACTTGTTACACCCTGGTCATTCCTGATTATACCCTATTCCATGCTCAAGCTAATGTATAAAGCTTGCCACAAAGCACCGGCGAAAGTAATGATTATTAATGTCTCCTAAAAAATTACAAAGGAGACATTTAAAATATTTAGAAATAAACTAGTGTTTTCTGTGTCAGTGTTGGATGCAAAGTAAGTTGAAGTGGACGATGCTGACTTGCCATCTTCGCAATATAGTGGATGCACCTTTATGCTACGTTCACACCGGACGCGAATAGCGTGTCAGGCGCGAATGATTTCAATGTTAAGTCAATGCAAAGACGCGCGTGAAAAATTCCTGCGGCGCGAATGAGGCGTGGAGCGAGGCGCCTCATTCACGCGTATTGAGCGTCAGGCATGTAAAGCGCGTTACACGCGAATGATTCAGTCAGCGAATGATGCCATTTGTGCATTCACGCGTTTGACGCGAATTCGCGTCTGCCGCCCGAGTTGAAAAATCTGAACTTTGGCGTGAATTCGCGCCGCGTTAACCAATCAGGAGCCTAGCTGCTTGCTCACGTGGTGAAGTGTCTGGATGCTTCAATAAATTATTTTGTTAATATGACTAAATGCATGGTGGGATTATGCACAACAAAGCACATTTTTTATCACTTAAAACATTATTTCTATATACGAGACATGTTCATTTTGTATTGAATGTTATTCATTCCATAGCTAGATTATATGAAATAGTATTATGATGTAAAGACAATCAACATATGTGCATAGATTCATGTCTGGACGTGAGAGAGAGAAAAAAAAATCACAGGACAGGTTAATAACTTTTGAAGGCTGGCTCTATTTATTATCAAAACAAAAATAAATGACAGCTAGATTACATGGATGAGGGCGAGGGTGATCCTCGCTCCGATGCGGGACAACATGTCATCAAACTGGGCGCGTGACAGGCGGAAGTACCGCTGACAGCGGCCGTCATCCAGCGCAGCTCCTGGAGCGAGCAAATGGTGAAACTCGCCAAACGGTTCGGCTCTAAAGGGTCCGGTGGACACAAATATACGGCGACGATGATCCCCACGCCGCTGTTCTGCTCTCCAGAGTAAATACAGAGCGGCAACTCTCTTGATGAATGTTCGGTCGACATAAAAACAATGGCCGCCAACGGATTTCGATTCTGACGCGCGTCACGCGCGTAAATTTTGCTTCAAACTTTTGTTTTTACGCGCGCCAGTTTCGCTCTTGACACGTGAATTAACACAAAGTGGTCAAGCGTCAAACTAGACGCGTCAGGCACGAATTTGACGCGCGATTCGCGTCCGGTGTGAACGTAGCATTAGAGAGAAATACACCTTTCATACGGATTACATAATCAGGGAGTATTTATTTTCAATTTGAATCGGTTCACTTAAAAGTACACATTTCAAGCTGTCTATAGATATATGTATCATGCCTGACTGTGAGGCAAGTTTCGGTTCATTTTTGTGACGCGCTCCAGTTCACGGAGACCAAGATGGCAGAAAGCGTTTCCTGTTTGTTGTCTTTATTTTACAAAGGCACATGTTCTTGTTATTGTGAGTTTACACAAATACAAGTAGCCCCTTTACAGTATTATTTTTATCTGTATGACCAAAAATGTAATATTTTAAGTAGTTTCCGCTGTTTGTCTGGAAATTACGTAAGTGATTGCGCCTCCATGTCATACAGTAATCTGATTCTGCACAAACACTTCACGATGTGCCTAATAATAGTGCACATTTATCTAGGTTAATGTTAGAGCGTGCAACCAGGTAATGTTGCTACTTACATGTTTCAAAAGATAAGCCATATTTGAGGTCGATGAATGACAGGCGAACGTTTGAATTTCCCGCTCGACATACTGTAATCACGTCAAGGACCCGCCGTTAACGATCTATCCTTCATTGACTGCATTACTTCGCCACAAGTTTTTTTTTTCTTTTTTTTTTTCTGCGATTAACCGGCTACAAATGTGGTCTACTAAGCCTCTTCTAGTTGATTTAGTCGACTTTTAGGGGGTAGCCTTAATTTTTAGCTGGTTTGTTAAACAAATTACCAGTTCTGTTCTTACAGTCTCTACTTCTAGTTTCCAAACTGAAAAGTTCCCACTTTCCCTGCTCTTGTAGTTCAGTCTTGTGAAAACTAAAGTGCCCAAGCTTTGCAGCAGCAGCCCCCTACTTTCATTCCATGTCTATTCACATCAAGAGTCAGTCTGTCTGGTCACCTTAGCAAACATTTGGCTAACATTGGTTAGCACACCCACTGGCTTATCTGTTGTGATTCCATCAGGCCCTTCAATCAGCTCTATCTTGCCTGACAGCATGCTACATATACCACTGCAAGTCAAATAGTTTATCCCCTGCATGTCAGTTCATTTTATTTCATTTATCTCAGCTATCCTTTGCCACTTCTACATGCATGCAGGTATCTTCTAATGAGGCCGTCGATATGGCATCCACCTTTCATAAGACACTGTAGATGTTAAAAAGGGTTTAATGATACAGATCTTTAATATGGTGGAGATGGGCCTGATGCAAAGGCTAGATTAGTCCCAGACCCTCACTCTAATCCCTAAATCCTCCTCAATGTGCACTCGCTTCATAAAATGCTCCCATTGCTACCTCTACTTTCCCCTCTTGGCCTCAGCTTCTGTAGATGTATTTGAGTGAGATGCTGATTTCACTTCTGAAGAACCCTAGAGAGTGAATATGATAGTCTCTGTCAATGGAGGATAATTTAACCCTTTCTAAAGGCTCAAGGAAACTCTTAACATCTTATCTTTTTACATATACTACTGAAAAAAAGCAGACAGTGAGATATATAGAGGTGCTTTCTACATAAACATGAAGCAAGTAACTGCAAAGATTCTGATTATGAATATCATTAATGTTTAATACATATATTATCAAAGCATCTTACCAGAGTGTGTAGTACAAGTGTAGTTTGTCACTTTAACAGTTAACATGTTCCAGTATCTTTGCCAGCCACAAATATTCACACTATTTTTATTTATTTTTTTTGTCTTTATTTGGAACACTATAATTGTTATCAT